CCCCCCCCCCCCCCCCCCCCCCTCAATAAATGTAGTTGAGACGCAATGTGTTAAAGCAGGGGCATTAAGGGACACTATAAACTGGTTAAAGATGGTGAATGCTTAGCTTGTCTTGTGTTGTGAGATGAATTGCAGCCATTTTTTTCTTAATTATCGCGTTTCCAACTGAAAACTAATTTCCACACGTCACGAATTTAACTCAAACAACTTCGTTTTTACTGCACTGAAACTTTTGGTGAGAAGATTGAGTTTCAAAACTCAATTCAAGATTGAGTTTTTGGGGCCGTTTTACGGCCCTAAAAAATCCCTGAAAAAAACCCTGGTTGAAAAAGATACGGCAATATTATGTATCTCGTTCCGATTCTTGTCTTAATCCCGACCTATTTTCTCCAGGTGCAAAAAAGGCAGAAGAGGAGAATGAGAAATCAGATGAGATGTTATTTGATCAGATGAAAGGCATCATCCCGATCACCTCCATTGCATATCTCATGGACCTTCTCGAACAAAATCAAGATCTTCTTGCTGAAATGTTGAAATTGGTGAAACTCAGAGGTCTGGGCTTGAGTGAAGAGGAGCTGATGGAATGTGATGACGTCACAAGTGATGCGAAATCTTTGATCTTCCGTCTTGGTGTGGTTGGTTTAGGCATGCCTAAGATGCAGGCACCATCACTTCAGATACAGGTAGAGTCCCGGGCAAACACACAGAACTTTGTTTTCTAGTCATGCTGTTTACATCATCCCGGTTTGCTGGGAGCCTGGGACGGGGTAGAAAGTGAGATGATTCTGTATTGAAATAAATTGTTAGGTTTAAAAATGTTGTCGAGAAGATTTCGCAGTTCAAGAAGATTATTATTGCTATAATAGTTTTGTTTGTGGAAACACCACGTAAATTTATTACTGCAGTAATAAATTTACGTGGTGTTTCCACAAACAAAACTATTACAGTATATTTTATCACCATGCAAACATACAAAGAACTTATTATTATTGCTGTTTGAACAACCTTTCGTTTACAATTATACTATAATCTATCACTAGAAATTCGGAAACATGTAAACATCCCCTTGACAACCTTTGTTTTTTAGGTCGAATGGTTCAATTGGGAAGTATTTGTTTCTCAGAAACTCATGCAGTCTAGACCATCAACTGGCGATGTTGATTTCATGAAAATGTTTACAGCCCGTATGATTGGTCTTTGTGAGTTTGGCTTCCACCCACCACACGCCCTCGTCATGAATCTCTTCAATCACTCGTGGAAACCGGGTGCTAACCAGTGTGAAGATACCATCAGTGTTGCTATAAAAACCATGGTTGCGTCGTCATGGAAACAGAATGGCGCGAATATCCATCGTAGAACTTTCCTAGAATGCCTGAGACGTCATTGGGTGAAACTATGCGAGATTGTGTTATGCCGAGTTAGTGTGAGTGCGCCTCAGTTGAGTCATGCATTAGAGTGTATGTTCACAGCGACCAACATGATTGGTACTACCTGTGAAGATTTCAATGTTAAACCTGGCAAGAAAACAGCAGGACGGAACAACAAGAAATCAACTCAAAATGTTGAGATTGGCAAAAAACCAACAAATGTCGCACAGAACACCAAATTAGTTCAAGGCATGCTTATTGAGAAGGTTGTTGCAAACCTCTACCTTGCGTATGTGTTAGTCAGCCATGCAAATAGCTTGACGCCCACTCCAGATGCACCGGCAGTCACGGAATCGGACAAGCGGATCGCTCAACAGCTCCTGTTTGGTAGGTTTGGTAGGAGGTCAATTCACCAACGTATTGTCGCAACAGCCGTGGAAGGAATTACAAAGAAGTCAAGCACGAGTTTGAGTGAGCAACAGCAGAATCTGTATGAAACCGCCATTACTCTTGCCTCTCGAGCATTTGCTGTGAAGAATTTCACATGTCGTCAACTTCAGATGGAAAATTTTAACTATGATTATAATTTTATGGAGTTTATGCAGCGGGGATTGAAGTAAGTCAACAATCTGGCTCATATTCATTTCATTTATTAGCCAGGATTAGAAATAAGGCTCGAATGGGTAATCCCAGCTATAGACTAAATTTTGATCAAGGCAAGAAGAACGAAATCCAACACCACAGCTAGAAAGAGTATCTTAGGATGAGTAAAACTCATAGAAATAATAGATATAGAATGCGTACTTGATCACGAATCATGTCTCCACTTTTTCTCATGCGTGCCCTTATAAATCCGCCATGTTTGAATTTGACTAGGAGTGCAAACTACAAAGTATAAACAAAGCTAAAACTACGTTTTCATCGTCAAAACGTTTATCTTGTTGTTTAATTTGTAGTTTGGGGATAGAAAATTTGTGAACTTCACAGGGCTATATTTTCCTAATTTTACAACAATTCGCAACCAAACTTATTCTCATTAACTTATTCTCATACCTATGGATGTGAATAATTATTTACGTACCTATGATCCAGGCTATACATCACGTCATTACGACGAAAATAATTTCTATTTTATTACCAAACATAAGCAGGACTACTTCAGGAATTCGTTTTTTGTAAGGTCAGCAAATCTGTGGAACAGCCTCTCATCGCAACTTAAGAGTTGTACATCAATATCTGTATTCAGTTCCAGACTACGTAAAATGTATAAAGAACGACTGCTATTTTACAGCCCTCCTGGCTGTTCTTAACTTTATAATATCCTATGGCATGGTTTCCTATTCATGTAATGTGTTTGGTAGATGTATAGTCATTTATTAGGAGTTAGGTGTCAATTGGGACGCAAGTCCTGTTCCTCTCTTCAGTCACACCTATGTTGTATTTTTTTTTAATTTTTTTTTTATTAAATTAAACTTTGCACTTTCATTCATTTTAAGATGCTCTTTCCAGCTATGATAATTTTATGGTGATTTCGTTCTTCTTGTGTAGATCAAAATCTCGTCTATAGGTGGAAGCATTCATTAGGATGATGGTAACCTTCTAACCTTCATCACTTTCTTAATCTGTTTTTAATTCTCAGGTGGATGTGTACCATTAGCGGAAAGATTGGTGTGAAGGCGTTTGACTTGATCTTGGAAAGACAACATTTTCATTTTGGACCTGGGAAATGTTTTAGTGATGATGAAGTGATCAAGATATGCACAACGATGTTAGAATCAGAGCAGGTGAAATTCCTTTCCACTTTTTCTATCTTAATGAAACTGAAGACCTATGGCTGTAAAGCCTACATTTCCCAGGCCATGTCACCAGAGTATTACAACAGAAGGAACCCTAAACTGATGTTTAAAAGTTTTGTTAATAGAAACGCGAGGCTCGTGTTTGGATGAAAGTGCGTGAAGCTCTGTTGACATTGATGAGACCTCAGAGTGATGTCAAGATTTCTGATATTCTCACATTATGCCGGTAGGTATTGTAGTGATTGACCATCGGAAATTTCCGATTATTCATGACAAGTATACTTATCACTCCCTGTTTGCACGGCCGCCATTTTTATTTTTTCCAGCATAATTAGCAATATGATACCTTACTTCCCATCCCCCCCTGCACGCATATATTAAAAGCTGGAATTGCGTATTGGTGAAGCACACCATGCGTAATCAACATTAAATAAATTACTATTACTTTTAGGACTACGGAGAAAGAGCCACCAAGCAAGCGAGTATTACTCGTGCCCGCCATTTGTAAGGAGTTACTGTTGTACATTCCTGGCAGTACACTGGATTCAAGTTCTAAAGTAGAGCATCTGGCTCGAGCTATGGTCACCATGCATGCGTTGTGTAAGAAATTAGAGAGTGAAGATGCAGCTGAAGGTCTTGAAGGCGTAGTAAGTTTATCTTCCTTTTATCGAACAGATTTATACTTAAGATCATTCTTCCAGGCCTACTCTATCCAGACTTCTCTTCACCTAAGTTTATCTAGTATTATATCTCTCCAGTATAAATTAAGAATTCTTGTCTCTTTCAGAAGGAGTTATTCTCTGAAAATTCAACGGACAAGCCTAGCACAAGCGAGGACAGTGGTAAACATGAAGACTTAGATCCTAACTTACAGTTATGTTTTGATCTTGCAATTGAAACTATCAAACACATTCATGACAGTTATCGAGTACGCGGTTTTGAAGTGAGACGAACATATGAAAATGTTTGTGAGGTTGTTACCTATGTCGCAAAGAGAGCCAGCAAGACATCTGAAGAACAGTCAGCGGAAGCTGTGGAGAATGGTAAGTAGATACAGTTATTTACATCTCCGTTCCAGGGGTGGTTGAAGCGCTGCCCCTAAGATAAGCCTTCTCGGTTGAGGTCGCGTATTTACTTAAGTTGTGTAATTTGTTCGTGCATGAAACCTGCTTTGAGTTGCGGTCGTCAAAAAGTGAAGCCATCTTGGCTTCACTTATCTCATAGGCCGAATTAGAATGAATATATATAGAGCTCACTGGATCCAACAAGCATACCTTTACTTGTAATCTTCGTGTTGAAATGAAATGTATTTGTTTTGTATTTGTAGCCAAGACGGATCCGTTTGAAGAGGTGTACGTCAATCGGTTTATTGAAGTCCTTTGCAATCATATCAAGGATTATCTTTTACTCACTGACTTTTTCTTTGAGGTATATCTTCTTTTTGTTGTTGAAAACTCAAACTATAGATAGGGTTAGGAGCTGGCTTGGTTAAGACTATTAGATTAGCAATAATATTAGTTAATATTAGAGTTATGATTAGGGTTACGATTAAGATTAGATTAGGCTTAGGATTATTAAGATTGTATTTATATTGAGGTTGTTGTAATTTTTTATTGATCAGTTGTCGTCACGTCTTCTTGCTCTTCCACAACATGGATCATTTGGTCGAGATCGTGTTTTATTGAGTGATGATTTAAAAGTGGACAAATTCTGTCATTCGTGTACAAGTCTATCTGTTCTATTGAAAAGGTCAGTTAATTAGACTAAACTGTTCTGCTTAGAGCTACAGTGGCGAAGCTAACTATAGGAATTGGTCATGCTATGCAAATTTGTAAATTGTATTAAACCTATAGAAATCCATCGTCTTTAATTAATTAAACTAATTTGTTTACTAGTATAGCATAACTATTTGCCATGACTAGCTTCCCCCACTGAATAAGGACCATGCCTTAGTGGCCAAGTGTTACTACAGGACTGGGTAACCAAAGTGTTAATCCATCTATGTAATCTGAAGATTGATTTAGATACAGCACACAAAAGGCAAGATACTATTTCACCCAAGTGATCCTGACTTGGTCATGACAGCTGGGACAAAATGAAAACGAAGCTGAATACCGTGAGATGTCTCTGTAGTCAGTAAAGACCGCTTTGTATACAGCACATAAAAACTTCAAATAGATCCATATCATGACTTGATTATGAAAATATGGTTGTGAGTTTTATTATCGTGAAGGGTTTGTGCCATCGTAGGTTGTGCAAATAGATAGGGGATAGATAGAGATGGAACTACCGGAATTTTATACATACGACTCCTGTGTGTGAAATATGTTTGTATAATTTCAGATGTATAGCCGGGCTTGTTGAAACAACAAAAGGCGAAGATATGGACACATATATCAAAGAATCGGTACAAGAAAACGCAGGGTATTGTAAAGCTCGAGCTAAGAATGCAAAATTTTACTGTGGTGCTTCACTAGTGTCTTTCCTTGAAGTTGTTAAACGCCTCATGAGTATTGCGGACGAGGACTTTGAACCATTCTCTTACAAACTTGCGTCACGACATCCGATCACTAAAACGGCCATCGAGGAATTGGGGAACAAGGGTTCAAGCAGTCCTCAAGAGGAGAGTATGTTTTCAGAAAATCAGCTGATATCCTCGTTATTGTTGAGAAGAATGTTCAGTCCCGCTTTGTCGTTCTTTGATTATGATGAAGATGGCTGGAGGTACTAAATGTGTATGGCTTTCATACCATGTCGCCTTGAAAGTCTGTTGGAACTTATGCGTCAACCATGGTTAATATGTTTCCATAAACAGTAGAGGCTCGGTTGTACGAAGACCAGACATCCACAGTAGAGTGATTTTGTTACTCCCGCTTCCCTTCACGTATTGACCAGAACGATTAGAAAAGATATGTATTTTACTACCAATTTTATTACACGTGCTCGAAGCACACGCGTGATTCTTGGGTAACCATATAATTAAGGACATGCAGGGACCCTACACTTTCTTAATATACTTGTGGGACCACAGGGCTAAACTACCTGAAGAATAGAACAAGGACCTCAAATTTCCAAAGAAGACCCTTCGATTGGAAGTTAGTCCCGTAACTAATCTCCCTCCGATCAAAACGTCTAAGTATATTGTTCCTCTTCACATTCACTGGAATCCCACATTAGTCATTTTTAAAGCGTTCTATTCGCAGGTTATTACAACCTGGATTAAGCATTTGCAAGCTTAGGTCATGTTATATTTATGGTGTGTTCATATCCATAGTTTTAAAGCTTTTCGTGCATTTTTAGCAAAGGTTGAAAAATTACTATCCGGTGGTTGCTATGCGGTCTTCGTACAACTGAGCCAAGACTCCAAGAGCATTTCGTATTTTCGCATTTCATTTGTTGCGTTGAATATGTTATTTTTTGTTCGGTTGAAATAATTCAAATCATAGTTAACATTTTGAATGAACAATCGTTTTGGATTTTTTGTTTGTTTTGTTTTATATTGTAGTAGGTTTCCAGGTAGTTCAGAAGATGACAGAAGTTTAGAAAGATTGGCCAGGTATGAATACATTATAATTGATTGTACCAAGTTTACAAGGTAAGGAAATGCTATTGTGGTACTTTGTGCATAGATATCTTATATACACTAAATAGTGCATCTAATTATTCTGCAGTTCAAAAATTGAAGCCGTGATTGCAGACTCAGGATATTCCCATGAAATGAGAAGACTCGTATGTTTTCTATTTCTTAAACAGGGAACTTAAACATTAAGTTAAACTATTCCAAACACATTTTTAAACTATTCAAATGATGAAAGTTATTGTTGTTTTTAAAGCGTTTATTAGCGAGTGGGAAACTCCAACATGGCCGCCATCTATTCAAATGGGGTAACCGCTGGAATATTCTTGGCTTCAATTTTACTAAAAGAGATGCGTTATCTAGTGTATATAAGATATCTATGACTTTGTGTCATTTAATTTACAATGTTGTTAGAAAGTTTGCTGTAGCGTTTTAAACAGGTTAAGCTGACTTGCAGGCTACGCTACGACCGTAGTTCCCAAAAGTTCCCATTCAATTAAAGTGCTATAGAGTATTTATTACAACAAGTATGTCATTACAAACGTTGAATAATGTTGTACCAGTGTTTAGTGCCAGTAGTGTTTAGTATCTTTTCCCACCAGTACCAGGTCGGTCCCACCCGGTATTCCAATAAGATAGCATCACTCCCCCCTGTTCGTACGCTGATTTCGGTCGTGGATGAGCCTTGGATGAGTGGAGTCTTTGGACCATTTCTTGGATTTCAGCTTCAGACATCTTAGGTTCGACCTGAAAGTTAATGTGAAACAAAACTTTATCAATTCTCTTTACCCATGCAACAACATAACACAACATAATTTCCACGTTCCAGAATTTCCATGTTCCAGAATTTCCATGGTAACAGAATTTGCTCATATTATCATGTATAAGTTTTACATTTTCGATCAATAGACCGAACTTTAACTTTGCATTCGAAGAACTTCTTAATTTTGACACTCTTGTTACAGCAAGGAAACGCAATATCTCCCCGAAGTCTTTGCTTTTGCAGTAAGTGTTTAAAAAACGCCACATACAATTTCAAACATACCTTTCTCCGGCGGTCAGGATTTTTTGGTTCATATCTCTTTCTTGGTGTGTTAAGACGTTCAACAATGCCATTCACCTCTTCATTGTTTTTCGTCTGATAACCAAGACTGCCGTTTGCCTTGTCGTCTTTCTGCTGTGACATTTCTGTTAGTTCCAACACAGAGCAGGACACGGAGTCTGTTAGGGAACTAATCTCGCCCACATGCTCTAAACGAGTGTGTGGTTTCTTCCACCTGTTCTACTCGAGCACGCTCATGTTTAATAATTAATTTCCTGCCAACAACTTCAAGAAATACGTGCTCCAAATAAAAAAACGTTTGTCAATCATGACAACCAAGTATAATGTATTTTCTTTTCTTGTGTTCACATCAAGTCTTGAGCGCACAAGATGCTTCTATTTGGAATAAATTTTGTTTTGTATTACATGTTACTAATGTTGACTAAAAAGTATAAACAGAATTCGTCTCTATTTACATATTAAAGATCAGAAGCATAAAAGAAGCCAAATTAGTTTCAGTCTCTTTCGGCGATTGTAAATACTAAATAGAACTCCGACATTTTGAGCCTTTCGTTTGGAAATTGGTGCAAATCGAACCTAAGAACTTTACATACACCTGCGCCATAGAATAAAAATCCATATATAGAAGGGCCTCGCGCATGTTGCATTACGCATGTTGGCCGCCATTTTCCTAGCCAGTCAATGACATTTTCTGGCCAATAAACACGCTGTACTGGCTGGCTGCTCCGCCTTCTGGCCAGTAAACTGCATATTTTTGCATAAAAAAACGAGGACACGTTGCACCGCTGAGTGGCCCTTCTGTTACTGATCTTTCTGTAACAGAAGGGCCGTTTACTAAAACGAGTTTGTCCACGCGCGAAACTCGCGTGTAAAGTTCATTTCGCGAAAAATTTTCGAAAGCAAAATGGCGGCAAATTTAAGAGTGAAATCAAATTTTGATTTGAAAGTTCTAGTTTTTATTTAGAAGTATTAACTGATAGAAGGTATTATGAATGAACAACATCAAAAGGTATGCTAAATTGTAGTTGTAAAATTACTAATGTGCGTTTAAAGAGTAAATAGTAGCAGTCACAAAGGCGTATGTAATTATTTTGTCTATTTAATAAATTAAGTGATAGTGACATTTTGATTGTTGGACAGGTCCGAGCTTGGCTGGAAACATTGTTTGTTGATGAACCTATACCAACATTTGAAATAAATTCTAAAACAATTGAAATTCTGAGTACCTTGGTGGACATTAATAGAAAGAAAGACCAAGATGCTAAGATATTAACTGAAGATTTGGCACAGAAGAAAAATGAATATAGGAGTGAAGGTATGTAGCAACTTCGACCACATAATTTCATTTATTTGGTAGTAAATATTTGAGGCTACATATGGTGGCCAACTTCAGAACTGTTGGCACTTATAAAAGTTAGAAAATTAAACTATGTCTCTCAGTTCTATTTTCCTCCCAGTACAAGGACTACAAAAATATTCCCACTCTGATAACTACAGGTTGAACGTTTGCTGTCTGATAGTGCTTTGTTAAACCACATATATTTGATAGATTTTTTGCTCTTTGACTAAACTACATGTTTTACAATTTAAATTTTCAGCAAAACGTCTTCAAAGAATTATTTCCTCTGTTGGTCTACCTTTGAGTAATTTGTCACAATCAGGTTTGACAAGTGTTAGAACTCTGGCTAGTACTGCATTGTTACTGGATCTCAGGGATACAAAAATGTCCAGGTAATGTTTCCTAACCCAGTAATCCTAATACAGTAATTGTAAACCTAATCCAGTAATCCTAACCCAGTGATCTTAACCCAGTAATCCTAACCCAGTAATCCTGTGGAAACCAGCTTCTGCTGACAATGTTAGCGTGGTTAAATAAAGTTTATCATCATCATACAGTAATCCTAACCCAGTAATGGGTCATTCCAGAAAACATCCATACCACCCCCACAGAGTAAATAGGAAGTTAACCCCCTACCCCCTTTGGATGTCCTAATACATTTACTATTATCAGAAACAATTTTTTCTCCCCTCCCCCTCTGGAAGGCAGAAATTTCCTCCGTGGTGGGAGTATGGAGGAATGACACAATCTTAACCCAGTAATCTTAATTCAGTAATCTTAACCCAGTAATCTTAACCCAGTAATCCTAACTCAGTAATCCTAACTCAGTAATCCTAATCCAGTAATCCTAACCCAGTAATCCTAATCAAAGTTGCCCAATTTATTCTGTGCTTAACCTAGTTCTATTTCCTTAGCTACCTCCTTGGTATTAATGAGCTGTCAAAAGAACTTCATTCAGCGAAAGAAGAGGAGATAAAATCTAAACACGCAACAACGAAACAGTTGCAAAAAACAAATAAAGCTTTGATCCAATACAATTCACTCAAAAAGTAGGTTATATGCTTCGTGCAGCAGATAGCACTGGTTAACCTGCAATTGTCAGAGTGAGAAAATACTGTTAACTAGTCTTTTTATGATATGTAGTCTTGAAGGATGCAAATACTTTAGATAGAATTTTTAGGAAAAAAAGATTAATTTTTACTTTTCTTGCCGCTACCACTGACTGCTGGCCTGAACCACCTTCTGAAACCCACCAAGAAATTATAGCGACATTTATACCAGTCTTAGAAGTTAAACCCCTGTATATATTAATTTTATTTAAAAACAGAGCATGTGAGACATTGGAGGAGCAGATATCACTACAAGAACCAATTTTGAAACAACGTTTGAGAGATACTGGCTTTCTAAATCAGAAAACTGGAGAATATCAACGACAATTGGATCAATTATTGGTCAGTCAGTGATTTGTAGTTGTATTGTACAGACTCAAATCTCTAGTTAAAGATACCAATGAGTTCAAATGTCTGTTACTTTGGCTCAATTAACTCTAGTTTTTATTACTTTACCCAGCTGCAAGACTCTCACCTTGATGAGTAAAATTGTCTGGTGTTAGACGGAGTGAAATTAGGGTACATTTGGGTACATGGCAGCTTGAAGTATATATATTATATAATTGCCGTTAATGAAGATTAATAAAGTTAATGTTATTCAGAGTTATCAAAAGCAAGCAAATTTGGAACCAGCACTTTATCACAAAGCATTGGAAAAGAAATACGAGGTTCTGTTAATTATAGTCTTGTATTTTAATTAGGGGAGGTTGATTGCAGAATTAACAAATTTAATTTATATTTTGACCAGGATGTTGTAAAGTTAGAAGAAGATTTAAAACCATTGAAGTCAAAGTTGGACACATACCATAGTTTACCTCCTGTAAGTCGGTAATAATATCTCTACTGTGAATGCAGTAATTATTTGTGGGTTCTGCCTTATTTTGTTTAATAATTTACGGCAGGATATTTCACTTGCAAAAGTAAGACTCGAAGAAGCAAGAAGAGAACTGGTGAGTCAGACAGTTGAATTTGAGTTTGCTAATTTTTTCTTACTTTTCCATTTTTTTCATGATCTGTTCTTTGTTTTTATGGAACTATAGCAATCATTAGAGGAACAGTTGACAAGAAATATTGATTCAATGCACAGTATGTAGTTTAGCTGAGTGAAATATTGTCACTTTGACTTCAAAAAATCTCATCAAATAGTCAATTAATATACACATTTGAATACTGTTGGTCAAAATTCGTTTTTGTACAATGATCTACATGCAACTAGGTTTTTAAAACTTCACAATGTTTAAAAAGTTATTGTTATGTTTTGTTTGTGATCTATGGTTTTTCATTTGACCATGAGCGTTTCTCACACTGAGTCTCATGGACCTTTATAGAACTTGATAAAAAGCTTTCCCCACATATATAACACATCTCTGTCCTGGGTTTAGTCTCACTCTTGAGTTTTGCTGGGCCACTTTGCCGTCCTGTTTTTTTACTTTGTGCCTTCGGCTGATTGATGCTTTTCAATATATCATTTTTCTTTTGGCATTGTTGTTCATGAACTTTCAATGATGACAATAAGATTTCTTTTCCACAGATATAACATGTTTTTGTCTTTGGTCCTCTCCGCGGAGTCTGGGGTCTTTCGACTTGTGTGTCACTTGACAGTTTCTCCTTGCTTGTAACATTTTCTTTCAATGGTGATTTTTCATTTTGCAAATTCTCCTCCACCTTTCTGCTTTTGCCACATTGTTTTTCATGAAATGCATATGAGGATTTCAAGAATTCTTGGCCGCAAATGTAACAAACAATTGTTTGAGGTTTCGGGGAATTCTTAACTTGATTTTGGTTGGCTTTGATAGCTTCTGGAACTGTACCTTTTTCTTGTGAGTTTACAGCCTTATTGCTGCATTTCTTTTCATGGAAAGAGTATGATGATTTCAAGAATTCTTCTCCACAAATATAACAAATGATGGTTCTAGGTTTTGTAGAAGTTCGGCTGTTGCTCACCTTGCTGTTTTCCAATGGTGGTTCTTCTATTTTTGTGCTTTCGCTCGTGCTAGCACATTTCTTTTCATGAAAAGCATAAGATGACTTGAGGAACTCCTGACCACAAATATAACACACAATTGTTTTAGGTTTCTTTGAGATAAAAGTTTTAAATGAATTGTTTTCTGGGTCAGGATTATCATTGCTTTCATCAACACTCTGTGGATCAGTTTCATTCTGCAATCCCTCAGTTTCTTCCAATGTTGAATTTTCCACTCCAGGGTTTAAAGATGCATCATCTTTTTCAACCATGCTACTGTGATTCACATCATGAGATTGACCTCTACATTTCTTTTCATGGATTTTTAATGAATGTGGCAGAAATGCCACACCACATGAATAACATGGAATTGTTTTTAACCTTCTTTGCTTTGGACTGTCAGTTTTCTTTTCAAGTTTTGGAGATGCATTCTGACTTTTAGTTGCTTCTTTCTTGCTAGATTGTTGGTCTCCATTGTTTTCAAAGTCCGTTTTCAGTTCAAGTTTTGGCGACACATTTTGGGTTTTACTTTGTCCTTTCTTGCTAGATTTTTGTTCTGTCTGCATACAAACATCGACCTCTGTTTCTTCCCCTGTGTTACTGCATTGATGTCCCCTGCTCATAGACCTTTCTGACACACTCTGATCTTTGGCATCTGGGGTTTTGTTGGCTTTCCAATTCTTAATACATTGTGTTTCATGTATACCCAGGGAGTGAACAAAGAACTCCTTCCCACAGAGGTAGCATGCTTCTAGCTGTGGTTTCTTTGAAATTTTGGAGCTTGTTTTACTGTTCACTTTTGAAGATTTGTCATTGTTTATTTTTGACATTTTTTCACGTTTCTTTGCGCATTGTTTTTCATGGATTTTTAGTGATGATAACAAGAATTCCTTTCCACAAATGTAGCATTTCTCAGATTTTGGTTTTGGCGACAATGTTTGGTCTTGGGCAGGTTTGGGTGTGTTTGATTCCACAGCGCCTATATCAACAAGGCATTGCTGGTAGCCATCTGTTCGGTGTTTTGTTACAGTTTTCGGTCTCGGTTTTGGACTATTGGTGCTTGTGCTGTGGTCATCCTGGCTGCCATTAGTATCTTGGACCTTAGAGAGAATCAAAAGACTATTTAATTTAAAGAGGCAAACATTAACAGAAAATATTCGATGAAAGTATAAAGTTGTGCTTTACTGAAAGGGGCAAAGCTGATACATGAGCAGGTGCCATGTCTGATCACAAAGCACTGCAGTTAAGATAGAAGGTAGTACAGCAATAAATCCAATATAGAAATCTTGATAGGATCCATTAAGATACAATGACTGTCATACTTGAATTATCTTACTCAGTCTGATATTGCCAGACAGTTTGTCATGCGTATTAATTTTTCAAACCTTGGGTGTCACATCAATGTCCACACTTTCAACACCAGCATCGTTTTTTGAGAAGAATGCATTTCCAATACTTGTATTGTCCTCAGAACTATCATTTTTGTGTCGTAGTTTGGTAAGTGACACTGTCTGGGGTCGTGTTGATTCCTTTGCATGGCTCTCAGCTGTTGTTGGCACATTGTCTATTTCTGACATCTTAATTGCTCAAGATAAACTTTCTGAAAAATTATGAAAAAACCATTACAGATTAAGACTGTCTGTGGACTGTCAGTTGATGGCTTTCAGAAAGCATTGCAAGACAGCAGATATTATTAGCGAGTTACACATTACAATTAAATAGGAACAGGAAACTATATAATATACTCAAAGCAATATAATTCGGCATATAGCATTAATAATTAATCAGTTACTAATGAAACAAGCATAATATACAACAATATAGCCTCCCATATACACTATATTTGACTTCATTTTATAATATTTAACAAATCAACCAAAAGGTTGGCAAATGAATAGTATGTGAAATAAATTGCTAACTCTCAAAAGAAGTACAAAGAACATGTTACTATATTTTGAAATAGAAGTCGTTTTCTTTTTGTAAATATTAATAATTACGTCTTTATTAATTAACCTACAAGGAAAATATAGTTTTTAAAATTTTTTTTTCTGCACAAAAATTAAAAATCGAGTACTATTAACTAAGAAAATATTTACTCTATTATTATTTTGAACAAGGTTAGTATTAAATTCCCTTGTTAGACAGCTCTAAAAGCCAAAAGAGAACTCGAGCAAATTAATATTAATATTTTCGAAATATCGCGTTTATGCTACACGTCTAAATATAACATTTTAAAAACGTCAAAACGGACTAAAATTTTGTTATCTAACTATAGACAGTGGCTGAGGATCTTTAGATATTTTTAAAAGCAGTATTTACTTACTTCTTTTATGAAATTTTGACATTTTTTTACAACTTTACTATTAACGATTCAAATGCTTTCCAAATGCAAATAATATAAACACAAGTTAATTAATTCATATAAAATGAAATGTCTCGACTTAGGATTAAGGTTTAGATTGGGATTAGGATTGGATAAGTCCAGTAACCTGAAAGGATAGAACTGCCTGACGATTTCGAACAGCCTTAATTTTCCAGCCTGCATGTATTGTCCCCAGTCTTTCTTCCCCAACAATGTTCCTCGGTCAACAAGATGGCTGCCAATAATGACGTGGACGAGTTGTTTGATATTCGAAATTCTTTCTATTTGGGCAACTATCAACGCTGTATAAACGAAGTACAGAAAACACAGGTATATAAAGTTTTGAAATTTGGTGTTTTTTGTGTGTACAGGAGGAGAACTAGTGGTTTTTCTGTGTCTAAATATCAAGTTTGTTTTACATAAAAATATATGCAAATTGTAACTTTTAACCTAATTTTCCTGACAGCCTTCCTCTCAAGACTTAAAAATTGAAAGAGATGCCTTCATGTTCCGCGCATATTGTGCACAGGTATGATTAAAGCATGGACCAAACAAGCATGACTCTGCATAAGAGTTGATGATGGCAGCCGTTTTGGAGTTAAGAGTTTCATCAACTCTCATGCTGCAGTCAAACGAGAACAAGAGTTGTATGATAGTTAACTGGGGCCGGTTGTATAAAAAAGTGATTAAAGTTAACTATAGTGGAAACGTCATCCAATAAGAAGTGCATATTGGAGAGTTAATCACTATTTAACTACAAAATAGTGATTAAGAAAGCGATTAAGAGTTTTATACAACCTGGCCCCAGGATATTACTGCAAGTAATCAAATGAGCAGAAACTTAACTCTCATCAAAATTTTGAACCTCGAAATTGATGAGAATTTGCAGTCAAGCACAAGCCAGACTGGAAAGTTTGGAAATTGCGCGCCGGAGATTTCGAAAATTTAATAGTAAATATATAGAAAGCATCAAAATTGCACGCCGGAGATATCCACGGCGCAAAACAAACTTTCCATACTGGAGCACAAGTGAGAGTTGCAACTCTTACAGACTCCCATCTTCATTGGACCAGCCCAGTCATTGTTATATAAACCCAAATGTACAACTTGTATTTGGGTGCTAGAGAACACATTACATTTCAACTTGCAGGGAAAATATGGAGTTGTCTTAGATGAAATAAACAAATCATCTCCGAAAGAATTGCAACCAATCCGTACCTTGGCAGAATATTTACAAAACCCAGCCAGAAGGTAAAATTAATAGTAATGCCTGATATAGCATCACAGAGATTAGGGTAGGATAACAGCATCCATAAATTCATCCTAGAAATTGCCTAGGCATATTGAGAATGTTCTGATCATAAACAGAGAATCCTGAATTTTGCCAAAACAAAAATATACCAATTATGAGGGCTGTGTACAGATTAAGATGAAGGATTAGGTTTAGACCTACAGGTAGTTTAGGGTTAGGGAAGATTAGGTTAGGATTAGGAAGATTAGATTAGGTTTAGGATCACTTTCATAATGATTTTTTATTGTAAATTTTAAAGTCCTATAAACCACCTCAGATTATGTGATCTGTAGGTAATACATTGATCAGGCGGCAGTCTAAGAGAACCCCTCCCTCGTGCCACATACTAACACACACACAGCCCTATAGATTAGCTGGCAACTGAGAATAAAAATATTTTAATTTCCAGGGAAACAATAATAAACACAGTTGACCAGAAGCTAAAATCTGGTGATGTTGATGATTATTATCTGTTGATAGCTGCTATTATCTACTCACATGAACAGGTTTGTGTTGAGGATTTGTTGTTTCTTAATGCATTTCAACAAACCAGAGATTAATCTTTCAATATTTTTATTTAGAACTATGAGTCGGCACTGAGATGTCTCCATGCTTCTGAGGCACTTGAGAGGTAAGTTGCAAATGTCAGGATTTTGATTAAAAAATATTTAAAATTTAAAATTGACTTTTCTATCTTAGTGCTGCTTTGACCATTCAAATTAATCTCAGCATGGACAGAGTTGATTTAGCCAAGTAAGTAGGTTTTCTTTGTTGTTTAACACTCAGCTCCCTGTTGTACAAGCTACCTTAACTGTTATCCTAAACACAATTTCTACACACTCCCAGAAAATATAAGTTTCCAACCCTGTTCAGAACATGCAGTTTTCTTGTTTGATATGAAAGTTTGTTAAAAGTAGTAGCTTTTAAAAGTGTGTCTTTATATTTTTGTTTTATAGAAAAGAACTAAAGAGAATGCAAGTAAGTTAGTCTAATATTGAAGCCACTGAAGTTCCTGAAGACTCATGTCATGAATAATGGTTGTCAACAGTAGCGTAGCCAGCCCGATGATCTAGTCCCGCTGTGCAAATATTTTCGTGTTCATTGACTGTGAAAACAAACAATTTCTAAAGAAATGAATTATAGTAATTTTAAATTTGCATAGCGGGACTAAATTGTCTGGCTGGCTACGCCACTGGTTGTGAAATGATTAACCACTGTAGATTTATACAAAATAATATATTTATTTTCTAAGGAAATTGATGAAGATGCATCTTTAACACAACTTACTCAAGCCTGGTTTAATATTACTGTGGTAAGATGTAAAAGATATTTATCAAAAATTAATATCATATTATTATTGTACTTGCCCATACAGCTCACTAGTGTTTATAACTGTTTTCTCAAGGGAGGAGATAAGATTCAAGATGCATATTACATTTTCCAAGAAATGGCTGACAAATATGGAAGTAGTGTACTACTCCTCAATGGTCAAGCCGTGTGTTATTTACAGATGGCAAAATATGAAGAAGCAGAGAGTGTATTACAAGAAGCTTTGGATAAGGTACTGCAATTTATACAGACACAGTTTACCTCTATAAAAAGTTGCATGTACAGGTTTATTGATTGGGCAGGTTTATTGACAGGTTTATTGATTATTAACTTAAGTACCATTGATTTCAAACTAGTGACATCTTATTCTTTAGGACAACAGTAATCCAGAAACACTTCTTAATCTAGCATTCTTGTCTCAACATTTGGGAAAATCACCAGAGGTCAGTTACATGAAACTAAATCCATTTATTAGACACAGAGAAAATAATATCCTGTTTATATTTTCAGGTCAGCAATCGTTATATTTCACAATTAAAGAGTTCACATCCAGATCACGTATTCACAAGACAATATAACAGCAAGGTAAGTAGTTAAAGGCACAGTTCAGCCTTTTGAATGATGGTTTTTAAGGCGCATTTCAGCCCTTTTAATTGAAAAAACTAACCAGGAAAATCGATTATGTATAATTCAAGATCACTAAACTCAATGTTTTTAACAATAAAAATGTTTCAAAATGTTAAAAACATTAAGTTTGTTGACCTTGAATTATGCTTCATTGATTTTCCTAGTTAGTTAGTTTTTTTTTCAATTAAAAGGGCTGAAATGCGCCTAAAAACCATTCAAAAAGCTGAACTGTGCCTTTAACTTGAAACTTAAAGAACCATTAATGGCATTTGCAACTACCTCTCGCTAGGAAATTAACACTTTCTCGTTGTTTCTTGTTGTTATTTAAAAAATACAACTGTTTTATCGTCTACAGGAGAAAGAGTTTGACAGATTGGCGGCGCAGTACGAGCCTGCGGTTCAAGCGTAAAGATCACAAACAATAAACATGACATATAAATATTCTATGTAGAATTTAATCAATTAAAAGGTTTTGCTAAAATATTTTGGAAAATATTCCATGGAGAAATAATAAGGTTGTAATAGGATGAGAACCATTTACAATAAACACATCGCTTTATTCTTTATAGAGTTTAGCCAGATATATTGCAGCTTAGGATTTGCTTTCAAACTACACGACAATAAAAGATGTTTAATAAATGCTTTAGTCTCTTGCAAAAACATTGCGAGAATAAGTTAGCACAGACTATATAGTTTAAAGAACGTCTCGTAGGTAGCGGTCCACATAGACCAACTCTCGTAGTTTGATCTTTGAATTCAACTCGCGCCATTCCTCCCAGTTGGGTGAACACCAGGTCCCCAGCGTCATAAATATCACCGTCGTTATTGACCACAGAGACCCTATGAGTAGTGCCGCAAGATTGAATATTGCAATTCTGTTTGCTTCAGTGGAAACTGTTATACTTTGAAAAACTACTGCCACAATGTTGATGATAAATGATATGTGAGCTAGCATTGTTATTAAGACAACTAGACCATCTTCAATTTCCAGCGGTGTTGAAACCCACTAGAAAAATGAGAAAAGAACTGTTCCTGGTCTGTTCCTCCAATAATAAAGTTCATTTATTCAGATAAATGGATATATAATTAACACTACATGCTTATCGCCATCATCATCACCATTCTCATCACCATAATCACCACCACCATGATCATCACCACCATTATCATCACCATTATCATCATCACCATTATCATCACCACCATTATCATCACCACCATTATCATCATCACCATTATCATCACCACCATTATCATCATCACCATTATCATCATCACCATTATCATCACCACCATTATCATCATCACCATTATCATCACCAGCATTATCATCATCACCATTATCATCACCACCATTATCATCACCACCATTATCATCACCACCATTATCATCACCACCATTATCATCATCACCACCATTATCATCATCACCACCATTATCATCATCATCACCACCATTATCATCACCACCATTATCATCATCACCATTATCATCACCATTATCATCATCACCATTATCATCACCATTATCATCATCACTTCCGCCACCAACATCAGCATCGCCACGGCCAGTATCACCATCACCACAAATCATTTCCACACTTTATGTCGCTCACCTCTCTAATTGGTTTAAACGTTCTATAAACAGGCAATCTATAATTGCACAAATCGCATGACTCTCGACCAGATAGAGTTAACCAATTCTCTATACAAACTTGATGAACCATAGCTGCTGAGCCTGTACACCGACAGGGTGAGATCAGCGGTGTATCATTTTCAGACTTCGTATCATGGCAAATCCTACAGAACAGTTCAGTATCGTCCATTACTGGCGGTGGAGCGATGTAAACCCGACATACACCGTTGATCGGTTGAACAGGAATAATTGGATCATGTCTCTCATCGTCACGTGCCACCCTCGTGTCTCCTCCGCTCGATGTTGCAAAACTGATTGCAGACATAAGTTGATTGCCTAAACCATGGATAATAAAATAAATGGATAGGAAACTAGCTGACGTGACCTAATGTTTTTACTGGGATTGATGGCGTGATTGGATGCTTCAACCTAGTTGAAAATCAAATTCTCAAAAACGGCATGTTTAGCAATAATACAGCTAAACATTTTAGTCAAAGAGCAAGTAAATGTAACCACGCCATTCTACGATGAAAACTCTTAAGTATTCCCAGTCAATTTTAGCAAATATTTCAAGCACTAAACAGTGAAAAATACATCGCAAATTTCGTTAAAATTTGTGACGCCAATTTCGTAGGTACAAATGTAAAAAAATACAAAACAAAGACGAAAAACATTTACCTTGAATACTTTGTCGTGGCTTAGGCATGTTTTTTAAAACAACAAGACCAGTTTACGCTTCAAGATCACCCTTTTAAAGTGGAAAATATAGCAAAACAACAAATATGCCGAGAACTTTGGTAACATTCGCAATACGCGTGACGTCACGTTTTTCAACAAGGATGCAGTCAATGACGTCAGAAGTTTCCTATCCAGTTATTTTACAATCCATGCCCAAACTATGGAAACGAAGTTAACGTTTATATTTGATCTAGATGTTTTGATATTTGTTTTCCATTGCAAACACCTCGTATTTGGTCATAGCGTAATCCTTTATTTTGAGAGCATTTATACGCCATTAGAGCAGTATTGGCGTTAGGTAGGCAATTGTCAGGTTCGCATTAAGGTCCGGACGCGATTCGACAACGCGACGCGATTTTTTTAGTTTTTGAAAATTAATAAAACAGCCAATGAGAGCAAATTTTGAAAGATATGTAAACCAAATAACTCAACATGTTATACCGCTTCTAAATATTTGGAAAATTTATACTACACGGGTAAAAATTGATCAGGTTGTTCGGCGTTGTTCAAACAGTAGCGAACAATGTTGTGCTGCACCCCGTGAACAATATTGTTAACAAGTTGTTCAACCATCAGTGCTGTTGCAAGTTGTTAACATGATTGTCAACAAGTTGCAACAATATTGATGGTTGAACAACTTGTTAACAATATTGTTCACGGGGTGCAGCACAACATTGTTCGCTCCTGTTTTGAACAACTTGCATCAACATGATGATTTTTACGCGTGTAGAATCAAAGTTATCGGTCAGTTAAAATCGCGTCGCGTTGCGAATCGCGTCCGGTGTGAATGGACCTTTAGCTAGGCAATTGTTAGGTTCGCATTAGATAGGCTATTGTTAGAGTCGCATTAGATAGGCTATCTTATCTTTTGTTAGGTTCATCTGACGAAATCATCAAGTGATCGCGCTAAAATTGAAGTAAAGGTAGGTAACCCTTATTAGTTCTACCGAAAAACGTTGAGAACAGACTTTCTAATTTCATTGCGCAACATAAAATAAATCCTGTGAGTTGAGATTTGGCGAAAAAGTTTTTATACGCACCTTTATTTTCACTTGGAGAAACACGATTTCTTCCTCGTGCGAACAACTCTCTTATTGATGTCGTCACGAAATTAATGACGTATCTCGCGCGTCTTTATACCTTACACTGTTGTCCCCAGGCTTTCTTCATGTTTGAGATATTAACACGGCCAAAATGGAGGATTTGGTAGTCGGATGTAAGGATCATTTGCATATGTACACTGTATGAAGTTTATATATCAAAACGATCACTGGTACTTTAAAATAATATAAGTCGGTCTATGACGAAAACATTTTTTTGGCCGAAATTTTCTAAGACAAGCTCACCTTTAGTTGACTCAAGAATCCGGGGCAACGCCCACGGGCAAGCGTAGTGGAATCTATAATAGAGAGGTTAAGATACCCCAGTTCCGGTTTACGGGTACGAGTATCGCCATTTTGTTTACCAATTTTTCCTGATGTCAACAATTTTACCCGTAATTTCTACCCGTTTCCCCGCGGTAAACCATGGTCTACACGTAAACGACAAACGGGTACGGCTGTTTTCTGTTTACTATTTTTGGGCCGTTTAAATAGTACAAATTTTCAACATCTTACCTAAACAAATAATGCACATATGCTCGTCAGAGTTTTCAACAATTTATGGGGAACCTCAACAGCGAAATTTGCCATTCTCTGATCGGTTTTCTCACGCCGGAGTATCTTGGATTTCTTAAGTTACAAATTATTCCCCGATTTACGGGTACGTGTATATCACCCGTACCCGTAAACCGGAATCGGGGTATCTTAACCTCTCTAATATAAGTAGACGGACACGGATTCATATGTATTATACGGTATCAAAGTTTATATGCCAAAATGTGCTTTAAAATTCTCTTCAGCCAAAACTTTCTGCATCATGCGTTTTGAACATTTCTAAGTCCATCACCCCGAAATTTTCTAAGTCAAACTTTGGTCGAAATTTTCTAAGACAAGCTCGCAAGCGTAGCGAATAATAGACGGGCAAGGATCATTTGCATACGTATACTGTATGAAAGTTTATATCTCAAAATGCGCTTTAAAATTCTCAGCCAAAACTTTCTGCATCATGCGTTTTGAACATTTCTAAGACTGATAGCCATGTGAAAATGTGCTTCAAAATTCCCCTGAGCCAAACCTATCTCCGTTAATATGCGTTTTCAACCTTTCTAAGTCGGTCTATGACGAAAAATATTTTTCGATCACCCAAAAATTTTCAAAGTGACAAGCCTAGCTTTATTTGACTACGAAATCCGGACAAGCGTAGTGTAATTTATAGTAATCGCGACGGGCAAGGATTGATTTGCATACAGCTCAGTGCTATGATAGCCATGTGAAAATGTGCTTTAAAATTCCCCCTGAGCCAAACCTATCTCCGTTAATATTCGTTTTGAAACTTTCTAAGTCGGTCTATGACGAAAAAATTTTTTCGACCACCCAAAAATTTTCTAAGTGTCAAGCCTAGCTTTACTTGACTCCGAAATCCGGGCAAGCGTAGTGTAATTTATATTAAATAGGACGGGCAAGGATCATTTGCATACGGCTCATTGCTATGATAGCCATGTGAAAATGTGCTTTAAAATTCCCCTGAGCCAAACCTATCTTCGTTAATATGCGTTTTGAACCTTTCTAAGTTGGTCTATGACGAAAAAATTTTTTCCGTCAGCCAAAAATTTATTTGACTCAGAAATCCGGGCAACGGGCAAGCGTAGTGTAATTTATATTAATGGACGGGCAAGCGTAGTGTAATTTATAGTAATCGCGACGGGCAAGGATTGATTTGCATACGGCTCAGTGCTATGATAGCCATGTGAAAATGTGCTTTAAAATTCCCCTGAGCCAAACCTTTCTCCGTTAATATGCGTTTTGAACCTTTCTAAGTCGGTCTATGACGAAAAAATTTTTTCGATCACCCAAAAATTTTCTAAGTGTCAAGCCTAGCTTTACTTGTCTCCGAAATCCGGGCAAGCGTAGTGTAATTTATATTAAATAGGACGGGCAAGGATTGATTTGCATACGGCTCAGTGCTATGATAGCCATGTGAAAATGTGCTTTAAAATTCCCTGAGCCAAACCTATCTCCGTTAATATGCGTTTTGAACCTTTCTAAGTTGGTCTATGAGGAAAAATTTTTTCGGTCAGCCAAAAATTTATTTGACTCAGAAATCCGGGCAACGGGCAAGCGTAGTGTAATTTATATTAATGGACGGGCAAGCGTAGTGTAATTTATAGTAATCGCGACGGGCAAGGATTGATTTGCATACGGCTCAGTGCTATGATAGCCATGTGAAAATGTGCTTTAAAATTCCCCTGAGCCAAACCTATCTCCGTTAATATGCGTTTTGAACCTTTCTAAGTCGGTCTATGACGAAAAAAATTTTTCGATCAGCCAAAAATTTTCTAAGTGTCAAGCCTAGCTTTACTTGACTCCGAAATCCGGGCAAGCGTAGTGTAATTTATATTAAATAGGACGGGCAAGGATTCATTTGCATACGGCTCAGTGCTATGATAGCCATGTGAAAATGTGCTTTAAAATTCCCCCGAGCCAAACCTATCTCCGTTAATATGCGTTTTGAACCTTTCTAAGTTGGTCTATGACGAAAAATTTTTTTCGGTCAGCCAAAAAATTATTTGACTCAGAAATCCGGTCAACGGGCAAGCGTAGTGTAATTTATATTAATGGACGGGCAAGCGTGGTGTAATTTATATTAAATAGGACGGGCAAGGATTCATTTGCATACGGCTTCAGTGCTATGAAAGCCAGGTGAAAATGCGCCTTAAAATTCCCCTGAGCCAAACCTATCTCCGTTAATATGCGTTTTGAACCTTTCTAAGTCGGTCTATGACGAAAAATTTTTTTCGATTACCCAAAAATTTTCTAAGTGTCAAGCCTAGCTTTACTTGACTCCGAAATCCGGACAAGCGTAGTGTAATTTATATTAAATAGGACGGGCAAGGATTCATTTGCATACGGTTCAGTGCTATGATAGCCATGTGAAAATGTGCTTTAAAATTCCCCCGAGCCAAACCTATCTCCGTTAATATGCGTTTTGAACCTTTCTAAGTTGGTCTGTGAGGAAAAAATTTTTTCGGTCAGCCAAAAATTTATTTGACTCAGAAATCCGGGCAACGGGCAAGTGTAGTGTAATTTATATTAATGGACGGGCAAGCGTAGTGTAATTTATAGTAATCGCGACGGGCAAGGATTGATTTGCATACGGCTCAGTGCTATGATAGCCATGTGAAAATGTGCTTTAAAATTCCCCTGAGCCAAATCTATCTCCGTTAATATGCGTTTTGAACCTTTCTAAGTCGGTCTATGACGAAAAAATTTTTTCGATCAACCAAAAATTTTCTAAGTGACAAGCCTAGCTTTATTTGACTCCGAAATCCGGGCAAGCGTAGTGTAATTTATAGTAATCGAGACGGGCAACGAATAATTTGCATAAGGCTCAGTGCTATGATAGCCATGTCAAAATGTGCTTTAAAATTCCCCTGAGCCAAACCTATCTCCGTTAATATGCGTTTTGAACGTTTCTACGTTGGTCTATGACGAAAAATTTTTTCGGTCAGCCAAAAATTTATTTGACTCAGAAATCCGGGCAACGGGCAAGCGTAGTGTAATTTATATTAATGGATGGGCAAGCGTAGTGTAATCTATAGTAATCGGGACGGGCAAGGAATCATTTGCATACGGCTCAGTGCTATGATAGCCATGTGAAAATGTGCTTTGAAATTCCCCTGAGCCAAACCTATCTCCGTTAATATGCGTTTTGAACCTTTCTACGTCGGTCGATGACGAAAAATTTTTTTCGATAAGCCAAAAATTTTCTAAGTGTCAAGTCTAGATTTACTTGACTCCGAAATCCGGGCAAGCGTAGTGTAATTTATATTAAATAGGACGGGCAAGGATCATTTGCATACGGCTCAGTGCTATGATAGCCATGTGAAAATGTGCTTTAAAATTCCCCTGAGCCAAACCTATCTCCGTTAATATGCGTTTTGAACCTTTCTAAGTTGGTCTATGACGAAAAATTTTTTTCGGTCAGCCAAAAAATTATTTGACTCAGAAATCCGGGCAACGGGCAAGCGTAGTGTAATTTATATTAATGGACGGGCAAGCGTGGTGTAATTTATATTAAATAGAACGGGCAAGGATTCATTTGCATACGGCTTCAGTGCTATGAAAGCCATGTGAAAATGCGCCTTAAAATTCTCCTGAGCCAAACCTATCTCCGTTAATATGCGTTTTGAAACTTTCTAAGTCGGTCTATGACGAAAAATTTTTTTCGATCACCCAAAAATTTTCTAAGTGTCAAGCCTATAGCTTTACTTGACACCGAAATCCGGGCAAGCGTAGTGTAATTTATATTAAATAGGACGGGCAAGGATTCATTTGCATACGGGTTCAGTGCTATGAAAGCCATGTGAAAATGCGCCTTAAAATTCCCCTGAGCCAAACCTATCTCCGTTAATATGCGTTTTGAAACTTTCTAAGTCGGTGTATGACGAAAAATTTTTTTCGATCACCCAAAAATTTTCTAAGTGTCAAGCCTAGCTTTACTTGACTCCGAAATCCGGGCAAGCGTAGTGTAATTTATATTAAATAGGACGGG